ACGATATATCTCAAACTAAAGTTTGATATTAAGTAAAAATATCCAAAAACCTCAAAAACCTTATACTAATCAGATTTCAAACACATAATATCTACGTTTCTGCCACCACTAATCCACCTCGTATTTACAATTATCGTTATATAATCGTCTATCGCTAAATTTGATATAGCGATAGACTCTTAAACTTATCCAGTCACGGCCATTTCCCCTTCGACGCACTTTTTGACAGCGATCGGTTTCGTATAACATACCAGATCTAAGAACATTTAATTTTTCGGCAAATTTCATATAATCATAAGGGTATCTGGTGTTACAAAACTAAACCACGATCGCTTTTTGCGAAATTTACAAGTTCGGTTTAAACAGAATTTATTAAGTGATCGGTTTATCCAGATTCTGTTTAGAAGAGTTGACTATAAGTAAAAAAAAAATCAACACATGAAAAACTTTATAAGGATACTTTATAGAAGAACTAAAGGCATACTTCAAGGGCATGTCTTCGAGCTAATAATACTATTATAAACGGTTATGACAAATAACGAAAATAAATTATGCGATGAGAATAGTCACTTAGTGAGACGCTTCTCTGTTTTGGAACTTTCAAATATTTTTAATAAAAATGAAATTAAAATTGATTGTCTAGGTAGTGTATAATTGACAATTACAAAAATGTAATAATTTAATATCCAAATTTTTCTTCGTAGCCAGGAACCGTCCAACGTCCTTTTTTGACCATTTTTTCAACAATATCATTGAGTTCCGGTTTAGCTTTAACTAATTCATCAACCTAATAAATGAGTGAAATTAAGTTAGAAAAGTCAGAGGAGGAAATAAATATAAATAGAATTCAACATTTACACTAATATCTTTGAAAGGCCTCGTTTGTTCCATGTTTGTCAAAGTAGCCTGCAAGTCCCGAAGCTCGGTATCAACTTTGTCAACTGTCTTTTTTGCGTAGTCAATCTGTAATATTTAATCTCGTTGATAACGTGATCTGATTGTACGGATACTTAAAAAAAATGGCTTAATACTTACAGCTTTCTTTTCAAAAGTTTCAACAATTTTCAATTGTGCCTCCAGATCAACCTTTGTTGGTTTAAATTGTTTTAAAACATTTTCAGCTTCATTTACAATTGCCTTATTCTTTAAGATGTTTCGATAATTCTCGAAATCAATGTCGGTTTTTTGTTGTTTAAGAGCAGATACAACGCGTTTTGCCTCGTCATTACGTTTACGAAAAGCCTGTAAAGCTGTTATAGTTTCTTTTTTTAGACCTAAAGTTACAGTTAATTTTGACCAGTCAATAGAGGCAGCTCGAACCGAAGCCATGTGGACAAGGATCTTTTTTTTCAATAGATGAGCATGGTGGATGTTTGTTTTTATTGGCTGCTAAATATGCAATCTGTTTAATTGGCCAGTTATAATAACGATAATCTTTGTACGTACGTACTAGGGATGGTGTTTCTTGTGATTTAAAACATGTTTTAAAAACATGTTTTAAAAACATGTTTTAAAACATTTTGTGTTTTTTATTAAATAATATATTTTAGGCCATGCAAACTTAATAAATTGATTCTCATAACCCGGCCGGGTCAAATTTCG